GGCCGCCCTCCCCGCTCCTCCGCAGGGCACACGTCCCGCTGTCCGCACCGCTGCCCGCGAGCCAGGGCAAAACGGGCAGCGCCTGCAAAAGCGCTCGGGGCTGCGCAGAGGTGTTCTTTGTTGTTGTTTTAATTTTTTTTTCTTTTTTCTTACAAAAAGACACCCTTCTGGTCTGCCTTACAAAAGAGACGTACACAAACTTGTACTAGAAAAAAAAAAAGGTTTCCCAGAAGAAATGGGAAATAACCGTGTATAAATATTCTCTCTGAGTTCTTAAAGCTTCAATTCCCGGTTTGCCTGCTCGGCGCTTCCTTTGGCCCGGGGATCCCGAGGGTCCTAGCACCTCGGCCGGGCCTTATTGCTCACATCAGCTTCCAGGGAGTTGAGAGTCACGGGCCGTGCTCCGCTAAAGGACCCTTGTTACCAGCACGTGGACGTCCCTTAGCCGAGTCACCAGCAGCTTTCTTTTTAGCTGTAGCTAAAAAAAGCCCACCCAAACCCCAAATTAAAAACCCAGCCCCCCTCTCTTTCGCTACCCACGTTCTACGTAGAGTCACAGAAATGAAGGCACTGAGCGGCAAAATTAGTGTCTCCTTCCGAAGCGTGGCCGCCTCTCGGAAATTGCACGTTACAGGTTTGGGGGTTCTCTGCCTTAGTTCAGTTCAGTCCTCGCCGTTCCGGAGGGACACAGCCAGGTGCCGCCGCTGGAGCTCAGCCCTCGTCTGTCCCACCTGGCTCAGAAATAGGAGGGCTTGAGCCCCGGGGTGTTGTTGTTGCTGGGGTAGCGCGACTGCATGAGTGGGACCTCGCACTCGGAGCCGCCGGAAAGCATCACCGCTTCCGGCACCTTGCAGCCATGGCTGCTCAAATCCCCATTTTCCAGGCAGGCTTTCACCCCTTCCAGCTCCAGCGGGCTGGCGTCCATCCCGGTGCCGGCGTGTGCCTTCGCCTGGCGGTGCCGGCCCGCAGTGACCACCACCACCAGCAGCAGCACGGCGGCCAGCGCGGGGACGATCATCAGGGCGAGGTTGCTGTCCTTGCTCTGGGTGATGGGGGAGTGCTGCTGGTGGCTCACCGGTAAGGTCTGCGCCTCGGCACAGTGCTCCTCCTTGGAGGCCTTCTCCCCCAGGGGCCCGATGCAGACACGGTAGGTGCAGTTGGGCTTCAGCGCCCGCACCGTGTACTCAGAGAGCGAAGCCGGCAAACGCAGCATCACCGGCCGCTTGTCCGGCCCGGAGAGGTTTCGGTAGCTCAGGCGGATGCCCTTCAGCTGCGCTCTGGACTGGATGTAGTTCTGCAAGTCCACTTTGAGGGAAGTGCTGCTGACCTGCGCGATGCTGACCCGCCAGCTGGGTGGCGGGGCTGGCGTGGCCGGGGATGCCGTCGTCCCCCTCTCCTCCGCCTGGCAGTATGCCCCGGTGAAGCCCGCCGGGCACAGGCACTCCAGGTGGTTTTGGGCACCCAGGAGGCAGGTGCCGCCGTTCAGACACGTGCGAGGGGGCTCTT